ATACACACATGCTTATTTTTGAAATTATATATATTTTACTTTAAATGTAAGCATTTATATACAGTATATTTATAGTATTGCATCTTTACCATTGCAACCACTTCCTAAAAAGCAACTGGAGGCTTACTGTGTTTTTAACATGATGATTAAATTATGTTCAAAGACTCTGATTGCCACTGCGTAGTAGAGCATTTCACTCAAATACCAAATATTTTAAAACTCGACGTCTACATGTATTGGTTTGGCACACATTTGAAAAAAAAAAAAAGTAAAGCATTTCATTTGGTCACACTGAATCTCCTGAAACCCTTGCACACACTGCTGGATCTCCTGAAACCCCTGCACACACTGCTGGATCTCCTGAAACCCCTGCACACACTGCTGGATCTCCTGAAACCCTTGCACACACTGCTGGATCTCCTGAAACCCCTTGCACACACTGCTGGATCTCCTGAAACCCCTGCACACACTGCTGGATCTCCTGAAACCCTTGCACACACTGCTGGATCTCCTGAAACCCCTGCACACACTGCTGGATCTCCTGAAACCCTTGCACACACTGCTGGATCTCCTGAAACCCTTGCACACACTGCTGGATCTCCTGAAACCCCTGCACACACTGCTGGATCTCCTGAAACCCTTGCACACACTGCTGGATCTCCTGAAACCCTTGCACACACTGCTGGATCTCCTGAAACCCCTGCACACACTGCTGGATCTCCTGAAACCCCTGCACACACTGCTGGATCTCCTGAAACCCTTGCACACACTGCTGGATCTCCTGAAACCCCTGCACACACTGCTGGATCTCCTGAAACCCCTGCACACACTGCTGGATCTCCTGAAACCCTTGCACACACTGCTGGATCTCCTGAAACCCCTGCACACACTGCTGGATCTCCTGAAACCCCTGCACACACTGCTGGATCTCCTGAAACCCCTGCACACACTGCTGGATCTCCTGAAACCCCTGCACACACTGCTGGATCTCCTGAAACCCCTGCACACACTGCTGGATCTCCTGAAACCCTTGCACACACTGCTGGATCTCCTGAAACCCTTGCACACGCTGCTGGATCTCCTGAAACCCCTGCACACGCTGCTGGATCTCCTGAAACCCCTGCACACGCTGCTGGATCTCCTGAAACCCCTGCACACACTGCTGGATCTCCTGAAACCCCTGCACACACTGCTGGATCTCCTGAAACCCTTGCACACACTGCTGGATCTCCTGAAACCCCTGCACACACTGCTGGATCTCCTGAAACCCTTGCACACACTGCTGGATCTCCTGAAACCCCTGCACACACTGCTGGATCTCCTGAAACCCTTGCACACACTGCTGGATCTCCTGAAACCCTTGCACACACTGCTGGATCTCCTGAAACCCTTGCACACACTGCTGGATCTCCTGAAACCCCTGCACACACTGCTGGATCTCCTGAAACCCCTGCACACACTGCTGGATCTCCTGAAACCCTTGCACACACTGCTGGATCTCCTGAAACCCCTGCACACACTGCTGGATCTCCTGAAACCCTTGCACACACTGCTGGATCTCCTGAAACCCTTGCACACACTGCTGGATCTCCTGAAACCCATGCACACACTGCTGGATCTCCTGAAACCCTTGCACACACTGCTGGATCTCCTGAAACCCTTGCACACACTGCTGGATCTCCTGAAACCCCTGCACACACTGCTGGATCTCCTGAAACCCCTGCACACACTGCTGAATCTCCTGAAACCCTTGCACACACTGCTGGATCTCCTGAAACCCCTGCACACACTGCTGGATCTCCTGAAACCCTTGCACACACTGCTGGATCTCCTGAAACCCTTGCACACACTGCTGGATCTCCTGAAACCCCTGCACACACTGCTGGATCTCCTGAAACCCCTGCACACACTGCTGGATCTCCTGAAACCCCTGCACACACTGCTGGATCTCCTGAAACCCCTGCACACACTGCTGGATCTCCTGAAACCCTTGCACACACTGCTGGATCTCCTGAAACCCCTGCACACACTGCTGGATCTCCTGAAACCCCTGCACACACTGCTGGATCTCCTGAAACCCCTGCACACACTGCTGGATCTCCTGAAACCCCTGCACACACTGCTGGATCTCCTGAAACCCTTGCACACACTGCTGGATCTCCTGAAACCCTTGCACACACTGCTGGATCTCCTGAAACCCCTGCACACACTGCTGGATCTCCTGAAACCCCTGCACACACTGCTGGATCTCCTGAAACCCCTGCACACACTGCTGGATCTCCTGAAACCCCTGCACACACTGCTGGATCTCCTGAAACCCCTGCACACACTGCTGGATCTCCTGAAACCCCTGCACACACTGCTGGATCTCCTGAAACCCCTGCACACACTGCTGGATCTCCTGAAACCCCTGCACACACTGCTGGATCTCCTGAAACCCTTGCACACACTGCTGGATCTCCTGAAACCCTTGCACACACTGCTGGATCTCCTGAAACCCCTGCACACACTGCTGGATCTCCTGAAACCCCTGCACACACTGCTGGATCTCCTGAAACCCCTGCACACGCTGCTGAATCTCCTGAAACCCCTGCACACGCTGCTGGATCTCCTGAAACCCCTGCACACACTGCTGGATCTCCTGAAACCCCTGCACACACTGCTGGATCTCCTGAAACCCTTGCACACGCTGCTGGATCTCCTGAAACCCTTGCACACGCTGCTGGATCTCCTGAAACCCTTGCACACGCTGCTGGATCTCCTGAAACCCCTGCACACACTGCTGGATCTCCTGAAACCCCTGCACACACTGCTGGATCTCCTGAAACCCTTGCACACGCTGCTGGATCTCCTGAAACCCTTGCACACACTGCTGGATCTCCTGAAACCCTTGCACACGCTGCTGGATCTCCTGAAACCCCTGCACACGCTGCTGGATCTCCTGAAACCCTTGCACACACTGCTGGATCTCCTGAAACCCCTGCACACACTGCTGGATCTCCTGAAACCCCTGCACACACTGCTGGATCTCCTGAAACCCCTGCACACACTGCTGGATCTCCTGAAACCCTTGCACACACTGCTGGATCTCCTGAAACCCCTGCACACACTGCTGTATCTCCTGAAACCCCTGCACACACTGCTGGATCTCCTGAAACCCATGCACACACTGCTGGATCTCCTGAAACCCATGCACACACTGCTGGATCTCCTGAAACCCTTGCACACACTGCTGGATCTCCTGAAACCCTTGCACACACTGCTGGATCTCCTGAAACCCCTGCACACACTGCTGAATCTCCTGAAACCCCTGCACACACTGCTGGATCTCCTGAAACCCCTGCACACACTGCTGGATCTCCTGAAACCCCTGCACACACTGCTGGATCTCCTGAAACCCTTGCACACACTGCTGGATCTCCTGAAACCCTTGCACACACTGCTGGATCTCCTGAAACCCTTGCACACACTGCTGGATCTCCTGAAACCCTTGCACACACTGCTGAATCTCCTGAAACCCTTGCACACACTGCTGGATCTCCTGAAACCCTTGCACACACTGCTGGATCTCCTGAAACCCATGCACACACTGCTGGATCTCCTGAAACCCTTGCACACACTGCTGGATCTCCTGAAACCCTTGCACACACTGCTGGATCTCCTGAAACCCTTGCACACACTGCTGGATCTCCTGAAACCCTTGCACACACTGCTGGATCTCCTGAAACCCTTGCACACACTGCTGGATCTCCTGAAACCCATGCACACACTGCTGGATCTCCTGAAACCCTTGCACACACTGCTGGATCTCCTGAAACCCCTTGCACACACTGCTGGATCTCCTGAAACCCCTGCACACACTGCTGGATCTCCTGAAACCCTTGCACACACTGCTGGATCTCCTGAAACCCTTGCACACACTGCTGGATCTCCTGAAACCCATGCACACACTGCTGGATCTCCTGAAACCCTTGCACACACTGCTGGATCTCCTGAAACCCATGCACACACTGCTGGATCTCCTGAAACCCCTGCACACACTGCTGGATCTCCTGAAACCCCTGCACACACTGCTGGATCTCCTGAAACCCTTGCACACACTGCTGGATCTCCTGAAACCCTTGCACACACTGCTGGATCTCCTGAAACCCTTGCACACACTGCTGGATCTCCTGAAACCCCTGCACACACTGCTGGATCTCCTGAAACCCTTGCACACACTGCTGGATCTCCTGAAACCCTTGCACACACTGCTGGATCTCCTGAAACCCCTGCACACACTGCTGGATCTCCTGAAACCCTTGCACACACTGCTGGATCTCCTGAAACCCTTGCACACACTGCTGGATCTCCTGAAACCCCTTGCACACACTGCTGGATCTCCTGAAACCCCTGCACACACTGCTGGATCTCCTGAAACCCCTGCACACACTGCTGGATCTCCTGAAACCCTTGCACACACTGCTGGATCTCCTGAAACCCATGCACACACTGCTGGATCTCCTGAAACCCTTGCACACACTGCTGGATCTCCTGAAACCCCTGCACACACTGCTGGATCTCCTGAAACCCTTGCACACACTGCTGGATCTCCTGAAACCCTTGCACACACTGCTGGATCTCCTGAAACCCTTGCACACACTGCTGGATCTCCTGAAACCCCTGCACACACTGCTGGATCTCCTGAAACCCCTGCACACACTGCTGGATCTCCTGAAACCCCTGCACACACTGCTGGATCTCCTGAAACCCCTGCACACACTGCTGGATCTCCTGAAACCCCTGCACACACTGCTGGATCTCCTGAAACCCCTGCACACACTGCTGGATCTCCTGAAACCCTTGCACACACTGCTGGATCTCCTGAAACCCTTGCACACACTGCTGGATCTCCTGAAACCCCTGCACACACTGCTGGATCTCCTGAAACCCCTGCACACACTGCTGGATCTCCTGAAACCCCTGCACACACTGCTGGATCTCCTGAAACCCCTGCACACACTGCTGGATCTCCTGAAACCCTTGCACACACTGCTGGATCTCCTGAAACCCTTGCACACACTGCTGGATCTCCTGAAACCCCTGCACACACTGCTGGATCTCCTGAAACCCCTGCACACACTGCTGGATCTCCTGAAACCCTTGCACACACTGCTGGATCTCCTGAAACCCTTGCACACACTGCTGGATCTCCTGAAACCCTTGCACACACTGCTGGATCTCCTGAAACCCTTGCACACACTGCTGGATCTCCTGAAACCCTTGCACACACTGCTGGATCTCCTGAAACCCTTGCACACACTGCTGGATCTCCTGAAACCCCTGCACACACTGCTGGATCTCCTGAAACCCTTGCACACACTGCTGGATCTCCTGAAACCCTTGCACACGCTGCTGGATCTCCTGAAACCCCTGCACACGCTGCTGGATCTCCTGAAACCCCTGCACACGCTGCTGGATCTCCTGAAACCCTTGCACACGCTGCTGGATCTCCTGAAACCCTTGCACACACTGCTGGATCTCCTGAAACCCCTGCACACACTGCTGAATCTCCTGAAACCCCTGCACACACTGCTGGATCTCCTGAAACCCTTGCACACACTGCTGGATCTCCTGAAACCCATGCACACACTGCTGGATCTCCTGAAACCCTTGCACACACTGCTGGATCTCCTGAAACCCTTGCACACACTGCTGGATCTCCTGAAACCCTTGCACACACTGCTGGATCTCCTGAAACCCCTGCACACACTGCTGGATCTCCTGAAACCCTTGCACACACTGCTGGATCTCCTGAAACCCTTGCACACACTGCTGGATCTCCTGAAACCCTTGCACACACTGCTGGATCTCCTGAAACCCTTGCACACACTGCTGGATCTCCTGAAACCCATGCACACACTGCTGGATCTCCTGAAACCCTTGCACACACTGCTGGATCTCCTGAAACCCTTGCACACACTGCTGGATCTCCTGAAACCCCTGCACACACTGCTGGATCTCCTGAAACCCCTGCACACACTGCTGGATCTCCTGAAACCCCTGCACACACTGCTGGATCTCCTGAAACCCTTGCACACACTGCTGGATCTCCTGAAACCCCTGCACACACTGCTGGATCTCCTGAAACCCTTGCACACACTGCTGGATCTCCTGAAACCCCTGCACACACTGCTGGATCTCCTGAAACCCCTGCACACACTGCTGGATCTCCTGAAACCCTTGCACACACTGCTGGATCTCCTGAAACCCCTTGCACACGCTGCTGGATCTCCTGAAACCCTTGCACACACTGCTGGATCTCCTGAAACCCCTGCACACACTGCTGGATCTCCTGAAACCCTTGCACACGCTGCTGGATCTCCTGAAACCCTTGCACACGCTGCTGGATCTCCTGAAACCCATGCACACGCTGCTGGATCTCCTGAAACCCTTGCACACGCTGCTGGATCTCCTGAAACCCTTGCACACGCTGCTGGATCTCCTGAAACCCCTGCACACGCTGCTGGATCTCCTGAAACCCTTGCACACGCTGCTGGATCTCCTGAAACCCTTGCACACACTGCTGGATCTCCTGAAACCCATGCACACACTGCTGGATCTCCTGAAACCCATGCACACACTGCTGGATCTCCTGAAACCCTTGCACACACTGCTGGATCTCCTGAAACCCCTGCACACACTGCTGGATCTCCTGAAACCCCTGCACACACTGCTGGATCTCCTGAAACCCCTGCACACACTGCTGGATCTCCTGAAACCCTTGCACACACTGCTGGATCTCCTGAAACCCTTGCACACGCTGCTGGATCTCCTGAAACCCTTGCACACGCTGCTGGATCTCCTGAAACCCCTGCACACGCTGCTGGATCTCCTGAAACCCTTGCACACACTGCTGGATCTCCTGAAACCCTTGCACACACTGCTGGATCTCCTGAAACCCTTGCACACACTGCTGGATCTCCTGAAACCCCTGCACACACTGCTGGATCTCCTGAAACCCTTGCACACACTGCTGGATCTCCTGAAACCCTTGCACACACTGCTGGATCTCCTGAAACCCCTGCACACACTGCTGGATCTCCTGAAACCCTTGCACACACTGCTGGATCTCCTGAAACCCCTGCACACACTGCTGGATCTCCTGAAACCCTTGCACACACTGCTGGATCTTTTACAGCCGATTAACAGATAGATCACCAGGTTTACCAGCTGAACGTGGACATGACTGACAACATGTGAAAACTTTACATAGACGAGGTTAGTAAGTGTTTCGGTCACAGTAATCTCTTGAGGCATTCATCAGTCTAGTGTCATTACAGTTTCAGGCCGTGGTTTTCAAAGGAAGTTCACACCCATATTTCTGCCGGCTCAGCCGTTTATCTGCAGACCGCAGCCACTGGGTTGAGGTTGTTTTTTTACTACTGATCATTTAAAAATAAAAATCAAGAAGTGCTTATTACTATTTTGTCAGCCAGTGAAATGCTGGTACTTTTGACACCTATCTATACACATTAGTAAATGAATACACACACTATATAAATATATATATATGCATGTGTGTGTATTAACATAGTGTGTGTATTAATTTACTAATGTGTATAGATAGGTATACACACACATATATATACACACATCAATACAAACATACACGAAATTAATACAGACACTATGTTAATACACACACACACACATATATATATATATATATATATTTATACGTGTGTACATGTATGTCAAATAAATGCAGCCTTGATGAGCAGAAGAGACTCTTCCAAACTTTTGACTTTTTTTCTTCTTCTTCTTTGCTTCTGTAATGTAACTGAATGTGCTGATGTGTATCTGTTGATCTGTTGTGTTCCTGACCTCTGCGCTGCTGACGACGGCTCTCCACACGCCCAGGTTCTCACACCAGCAGTCGGTGCGCGAGATGTGCAGCGTGAGGTCGCTGTGCTCCTTCTCCATGGTGCAGATCTCCTCCTTCAGCAGAGACACGATCTACAGGAGAGGCATTCTGATGAGTTTCAGCTCCCAGTCGAGTCTCCTTCATTTATACAGCGCTGTTAACCATATAGAGTTCCACAGCAGTTTTACAGTGATAACAGGAGATTACAGTAACAGAGAGTGTTTAGGCGTTACAGCAGCTCTAGAATAAAGTTATTGTCCAGATAAAGTTAGTTTTGATTGATTCACTTCCGTTGTAAAGATCATTAGTTATTAACTTAGCGGCCGCTAACACGACACAACAAAAAAAGCCTCCGTGTAAACTTTAAAAACACGAGTATGTGTAAACGCTGACGGCGTGCGCATCCGTATCATGTGTTTAGTCTTTAGATATGCACGTTTGAATATATATATGCACAGATGTGTGTTTCTCTACAAGTTGAACTCAACAAATTACCTGTCAGGCCTTAAAAATTCATAATGCAGAATAATACAGGAGCAGACGACTGACCCTGAGATCATGTGACGGAGAAATCATCTAATGCAGTGGTCTCAAACTCGCGGCCCGCGGGGTGATATTTTGTGGCCCCCTACTTGACATTAAATTTTAATGTTAGTGCGGCCCGTCGTTGCGTGTGCCGCGTTTAATTTTTTTATTTATTTTTTTTATCCCTTATGAGCTACCATAGATAGTCTCGTGACAGCTTACGGTGGGTTTGTTGTCAATAGTTGTCATAGACAACCGCGAAGTACAAACATACTGCGCCTGGAAAAAATGAGCGCGTCGCTTCAATTATGAGCGCGCTTACCGCGCGCCTACATTTGAAATAACGAACTTGAGCGCGCAAAATATGTGAGCGCGATATGTGAACGGCCCCTTGGCGAGCTAACACCAATCAGACCACGAGCTACTGGCAGCTCGCGAGCGACATGTTGGAGAGAGACCCTGCTCTAAAACAATGTGAGAATAATCATTTTGAGCTTGTAATATGTGTCCAACAGGTTGATAAGAAGGTTTGCTTTGATTTGTGCAGTCAGTAATTTGAGACACTATACATAGAAAGAATTCAATAAGACGGGCAGACATGACTGCAAATATTTGTATTTCAAAAGCAATAATTGTTTTTCTAAGTATAATAAAAGGAAATGTGCCTTCCAAAAAAAACATTCAATATCATTAATGTGTTGCGTATAAAGAAAATAAAAAGGACATAAGCAAATATAAATATCACAAATATGTGTTATAGACAAAGAAAGTTTGTAAAATGAACTTCAACTGTCAGAAGGACAGCTCATGAAGAACCAATCATGTACAGAAAGGAATGTTCAAATTCAGAGGAACAGTTCAGAAGAAGCGTTAATAATAAATATTGAGAAGATTGGATCAGTTGTGCTCCTTTTTTGGAATACTTGAATACTATTTTTTGTGGAATACTTGATGCGGCCCAGCCTGACCCAGACTCCACCTCCAGCGGCCCCCAGTTAAGTTGAGTTTGAGACCCCTGATCTAATGCATTAAATCAAACCGCAACACACATACACACACACACACTCACACAAACACACATACACACACACTAGGGGTGGAACGGTACATGTATTCGTATTGAACCGAAACGGTACGGGCGTCACGGTTCGGTGCACGAATTTGCACGCAGAATACACGGTACAAATAAATAAAAAAACCTCTTAAATAGCGATAAATTTCGCTCTATTCGCTTTTGGTGTGACTGTTAACGCAGCAATGAACAGGCTGCGATCAAGATTGCAATGCAGGAGTGTGTGTGTCTGTGTGCGCGCGAGAGAGAGAGAGGCGCGATGAACAGTGTGTGTGTGTGTGCGAGAGAGAGAGAGAGGCGCGATCGAACAGTGTGTGTGTGTGTGCGCGCGCGTGCGAGAGAGAGAGAGGCGCGGGCGCGAATCGCGCGATGAACAGTGTGTGTGTGTGTGTGTGTGTGTGCGCGCGCGCGAGAGAGAGAGGCGCGGGCGCGAATCGCGCGATGAACAGTGTGTGTGTGTGTGTGTGCGCGCGCGTGCGAGAGAGAGAGAGAGGCGCGGGCGCGAATCGCGCGATGAACAGTGTGTGTGTGTGTGTGTGTGTGTGTGAGAGAGAGGCACGGGCGATCGAACAGTGGAAACGTAAAAACATACTCCGTCACTTTTTTCATACAGGACATCATTAAAACTGCAAATTGTTTACTTATATTTGTGTACACTGGCAATAAAACACAACATTGTGCTTTTGTCACACTCTAAACTCTTGTCAAACTGTAACCTACAACTGTTAACAAAAGTTTTTATGGTAGTATTATTTTATACGGAAATCAATTATTTATAATTCAGATGAGAATAAAGTTAGTTAATTAAAATGAAGGAAAACAAATATCTTGATCTGAAATAGCAAATTAATTTTAAATTCATTCAGGTACAATTACCAAACACATCTCAAGGTCTTTTCGTCTTTTTAATAATTTAATTAATAAACTAATTATATAAAACTACTGTCAGTGCACTACAAATAAACTGGTTCTATGCCTTTATTAATAAAACTTATTTAAAAAAATACAAGGTTTAAGACATTTATAAAAATGCCTTCTGCATTTTTGCTTTGCTTTTCCCTCCATTGTACCGAAATCGTACCGAACCGTGATGTCTGAACCGAGGTATGAACCGAACCGTGACTTCTGTGTACCGTTCCACCCCTAACACACACACACATACACACAAACACACACACACATTCACCAAACACACATACACACAAACACACACATAAACGCACACATACACACAAACAGACATACACACACACACATACACACACACAAACACACATTCACACAAACACACATACACACATACACACACACATACACATACACACAAACACACACAAACACACACTCATACACACAAACACATACACACAAACACACATAAACGCACACATACACACAAACAGACATACACACACACACACAAACACACATTCACACAAACACACATACACACACACATACACACAAACACACACTCATACACACAAACACACACACATTCACCAAACACACAAACACACACATAAACGCACACATACACACATTCACACATACACACAAACCCACACATACACACACACAAACACACACATAAACACACACATAAACACATTCACACAAACACACATACACTCATACACACAAACACACATACACACATACACACACAAACACACACTCATACACACAAACACACACAAAATACGGCAACACTTTACAAAAGTTAACATGAACCAAGAACGAACAATACTTCTACAGCATTTATTAATCTTTATTAACATTTACTTATACGTTATTAAAATCAAAGGTTGTATTAGTTTACATTAGTTAATGCACTGTGAACTAACATGAACAAACAATGAACAGCTGTATTATTTGTATTAACTAACGTTAACAAAGATTAACAAATACAGTAACAAATGCATTGCTCATTGTTAGTTCATGTTAACTAATGTTAACTAATGAACCTTATTGTAGAGTGTTACCCAAAATACATAAATACTAGGGGTGTAACGATGCCCTCATGTCACGATTCGACACACATCACGACACGATATTATTGCGATACTCCAAGACTTATGATAACTGTTGATTAAAATGCTATTTTTGGTATTACATTGTGTGTGTGAATGAATAGTCTTGGACTTGATGCTGAAACCCAATGAACAATAGAGACACCAGAATAACAATATTCATGATTCTGAAGTAGAAAATACAGAATTATTTTAGACGAATATGCTTTCAATCTGTCACTGACTAGATATATTTAAAATAATGTCGGCCACTTTTTACTGGTAACATCAGACATTATCAGGAGCCATAAATATTCCCCCATTGCATTATTAAACATTATATTCAACATTATATATAGTCGTTTAATGTAGTACTGACACTAAAACTCAGTAAACTTTAATTTTTTCCTCACACAGTAATTTTAATTTTGGGTGAATTATCCACGATACATATTGATGCATTTTTGTATTGCGATATATAGTGACACGATATTGTTACACCCCTAATAAATACTGCTTATTTATTTTAGTGCAAAATAAAACTCCCAAAATGAATACAAAAAGTATGATTGAAGGCATTCATCATCAGTCTAGTGTCATTACAGTTTCAGTCTGTGGTTTTCAAAGGAAGTTCACACACATATTTCTGTCGGCTCAGCCGTTTATCTGCAGACCGCAGCGACTGCTTTGAGTCATCACTACCGATAATTTAAGATTTTATTTTATATTTACATTTCATCTTGATTTTGCTTGTGAAATTCTGGTACTTTAGACAAGCTACAGGTTCTGCTCTTTTCCTGCTACCTTGTTTTAAAACATGAATAATCAATTGGGAAATACAGAAAATATTATTATATTAAATAAAATTAACATACAATATTAAAATAAATACAATATATAATGTTAAAATATTATTCTGTATAACATAACTCATTTATTTAAGGTACTTTATAGCTCAAAATTAGGATGAGATATGAAAAATAAATAGGAAACAAATGGCCTATCAAAGGAATTAATACTTTTATTCAGCTAAGATTAATTAAATTGAACAAAAGTGACAGTAAAAAAATTTATGTTACACATGATTTGTGTTCTGTTGAACTTTTAATTCATCAAAGAATCCTGAAAAATAAAAATATATCATGGTTTATACAAAACTATGAACTGTTTTCAATTTTGATAATAAACATAACTGTTTATTGAGCATCAGATCCTCATATTAGAGTGATTTCTGAAGGATCATGTGACACTGAAGACTGGAGTTATGATGCTGAAAATACAGCTTTGATCACAGGAATAAATTACACTTTACTGTATATTCACATAGAAAACAGCTGATTTACATTATAATAATATTTCACTAATTTTTCTGTATTTTTGATCAAATAAAAGCAGCCTTGGTGAGCAGAAGAGACTCTTTCTCAAACATTATACTGACCACAAACTGTGGAACTGTATGTCTTTAAATAAAAAAAAAATCTAATTTATAATAAACATAAAGAAGCATATATTAAGGCTGCACAATTAAACATGTAGATTACCGCTGTCCACTTGATCACATGGATGCATTGGCCAATCACAGACGTGCAAGCAGTCTGATGCACAATAAAGGAGTCTGAATTTACTATTTATTATTGTTTCAAACAGGGTTCACAAATAATAACATACTGTAACTTTAGTTACCGTTATATAACGTTATCTTACTAGCTATTTATAACTTATAGAAAGAGTGCAACGTTATAAAGTTACATGTAGGCTATTGCAAAATACATAATGATTTGAGGATCAAGTTTGTAGTCAAAGTATGGGCAGGCCATAGTCAATGTAAAGCATATTCTTGACGTTTAGTCCCTATTAGTGAATGTGCCATATAACTTTTTATCCGCTGTTATCGGTGGGCCTGTTTACTAGCCTGCGCGTTCACGACGGGCTCCGCTGTGGAGGACGAGCTGTGGAGGGAGGGCCGTAGCGCAGCAGAGAAAATACATTGTTATTTTTCAACATCCTACATATTTTTTGATGTTCTTTACTGTATTGATCTGCCCACCTAAAACACATTTTGGGCGAAAATATAATTTATATATATTAGGGCTGTCAGTTAAACGCGTTATTAACGGCGTTAACGCAAACCCATTTTAACGGCGTTAATTTTTTTATCGCGCGATTAACGTTTTTTTTGGCCTAGCAAACTTTTTAGTTATTTTTTCACATGCTTTTGCAACAGGACGCGGCGCTGCACTATGAAACCCATTAATTTCAATGGCTTGCGCCGCGCAAGGACGTTTTGTTGCTTCGTCGACCAAAGCGCAAGCGGATCCAGCTAGACCGGAAACAAAACAACAGGCACGCCACACACACTTGTTTGGGCTTGCGAGCCGGCCAAATATTAGGTTAACGTTACGTTTTGAGTGGATGATGAGCGCGAGACGCCGATGGATGCCAATAAGATTCTGAATGGAAAGTTTACTTTTAAAAAGTTGCCAAATGGTTCCATTGACGAGACCAAAGTGATCTGTGTGTTTTGTCGTTGTAACCTGAGCTATCATCATCGCAGCACGTCCAGTCTGAAACACCACTTGATGATGGCCAAGCACACACACACACACACACACACACACACAGCTGATGCGAATCCTCCGCCCCCTCGTCAATATCAGGACCTCGTCAGTATTTCTTTCACCCTTTTATTGATGGACAGTGTTACATTGTGTGAGAGATTATTTGCTCCAAGTGAGAATGTTAGTGTGAAATTGAACACAGTATATGCCGATGTTGTTTTCAATAAAAAACATTTGCACAAAGCAAGCCGATCCACTTTTCCATGTTGATAAGAGCATTAAAATGAGAAAAAATAATGGGACAAAAAGAAATCAAGAGACATTTAGAATAGATAAAAATGTGTGATTAATCGTGAGTTAACTATGACATTAATGTGATTAATCGCGATTAAATATTTTAATCGTTTGACAGTACTAATATAAACATATATAAAATGGCCGATAAGTTTGCAGCCGAATTGGCCGGTGAGTTAAAAAGTTAATTTCAAACCCTGGTTTGAAATAAAAGTGCAGTATTTCCCATGAATCACCTTTTTATCCGGCCGGGGAGCGTTCTGGATGGAGCCGAGCGCTTGGCGTTTGTACTCCAGTCTCTCGTACAGCTGGTGTAGTTTGGTGACGGCGTAACTGGCCTGTTCGTTGATGCCTCGACTGCCTTCGTCCAGGGCCACGTCCACTCCTTCCATCACATGACACTGAACACACACAAATACATCAGGACTGAGTGTTGGCATGTGGAAACCAGACTCATGTCGTGTTATAGAGGACCTGATCAGTGGAAACGACTAGAAATTCAGTATTACGTTGCCGGACAAGTCATTTGGCGATGTCACTTTGTAGAGAAAGACACGCCTGCACACACACATATATATATATATATATATATTTAAACTAGTGTTGTCAAAAATATCGATATTTCGATAAATATCGATACTGAAATATCTGAACGGTACCAATACTAATTTCCCGAAGTATCGATACTAGCCGAGCGGTCACTTTCACTTCTCTCCAAAGGTGCGTTGACAAACACCACACGTGACGCACTCGTCTCATTCGCTCTGGTTAAATAGCAAAAGTGAAGTGAATGGAAAGATGGCGAGGGTGGCGCCCCCGCGACCGGCTTTGGTTGATTGATAAAGAACACCGCATGTCAGAGAATAGCGCAGACACGCGTAAAAATAATCCCTCTCATCACTCATTTTTTAATATTATTGTATAGGTGAAAACAGACTTAAGGAACAGGCTCCAGGGGTAGGCTACTATTTAGCAGCATATGCTCAGCATCAGGGGTGTGTGTTGTTTGGACAGACCTGCCCCCACTGCTAAAATAATCCGAAAGGAAACACTGTTCTCATTTTAACTTTTCTGAAACATTAACCAAGATGGCCGAGTCTGTGTTGTCTCTTTTTTTCACCGTAATTCTTAAAGTTAACATAATCTTGACTGAGGAATCTTAGACAAGTAAATATTGTAACTGTGGTCAAATGTAAATTAACTGGTGCCTATTTAACTTTATTCAAAAATTATTATTTAATTCTGCAATTTGCCTTCATTAGCGATTATCATAAATTTGATTACACAAATATTAATTAAACTAAACAGCTAGACAATGGCATCTCTGAATTCAATAATGAAATGCCTTTAACTGAAAATGTAATGTTTAATCTTATTATTATACATTACTGACACTCTATCCTCCAATTTGATACTGTTAAGTGCTTTTTTGTTACAGTATATTTTAATCTTTGATAACAGTAGGTAATAAAAATACATCATGTTAGCTCTGGTCCAATTAAAAAATATGAACAAAATAGACCTCAGGACATTTTTGTTCATGTAAAGTACACCTCATTGTCATGTTCTAGACTTGTTATATTTAGCGTTAAATAAATAAAAAATCCCCTCTTAATATTGTGGCAGTTTTTTCTCCGTGGTATCGAAAATGGTATCGAATATCGATATTTTTCAAGGTATCGTATCGAAGTTAGAAATTCTAGTATCGTGACAACACTAATTCAAACACGCATAAATTTAGACTAAGCACATGATACGCATGCGCTCGCCGTCAGCGTGTTCACAAATTCACGTTTTTGAAGTTTACACGTTTTACAATTTTTCAAAACTTGCGTCTTGGATCCTGTTTGAAGGTTTAGTTCTCGAGCCTCAGACACTGCTGTCGTGCGAATGAGCGGCCAGAACACATTAAAGTTTCTGTCTTCAGTAGAGCGGTGTCGTGTTAGCGGCCGCTAAGTTAATCACTAATGATCTTTACAACGGAAATGAATCAATCTAAACTAACTTTATCTGGACAATAACTGTATTCTAGAGCTGCTGTAACGCCTAAACACTCTCTGTTACTGTAATCTCCTGTTATCACTGTAAAACTGCTGTGAAACAATATACAGTAGTCAACTTTTGAAGTAGATCAAAACCTTTCATGAATTTTAAACAATACCAGTTCTTGTCTTAGGACAAAATTGATTAACTTTTTTTGATCCACTTCAAATGTTGACTAGTGTATATTGTTAAAAGTGCTGTATAAATGAAGGTGTTGACTTATTACTCGACTGTTTTCATTGTTATACTGTTGCGGCTCCTCTCTTCCCAGTCTGTCAGTAACGCTCTGTTTAGTTCCTGTCTCTATGAAGCCCCTCCTTCTGAAAAGCACACTGTGCTCTGATTGGTCGGCTGGATCAGTGTGTTGTGATTGGTCGAGCGCTTCGAGTGTGTTTGGGAAATGTCCCGCCCCTTACCATAACCGCCAGTTTAACACACTACTAACTAACTCAACCAGGCCCCGCCCCTTTATTCTGCGCATTAATTATTATAATGAGGAATATTGTGACGTGTTCGTTCCCGGGAGAAACTCAAGACTACAATGGAGGCGTTTCAGGAGTTCAGAAACACTGACACTGATATAGAGAAGAACTGGAGCGTTTTCATGATCAAACTGCAACATCACACACTGAAGATGAAGATGAAGATGGAGAAACTCACGGTGTCGTCCTTCTCCTCGCTGCTGGACTGTGAGCTGCTCCGCTGCTCCTCTCGTTTAATGAGCCGCTCGTACAGGTCGCTCACCAGGAATGATGGGTAATATCGCTCCTTCATGGTCTCGTAAACGTCTCCCTGGATCCTGTGAAACACGTCGGTGCCCTTGTTCCCCACCAGCGTCTGCTGGATCTCTTTATAAAGAGCCTTTTCCACCGGGATCTCCCTGCTCTCCACAAAGAAGTTCTGGTAGATCTCTCCCACCAGTGCCGGCACTTCATTCTGCAACACATACACACACACAACATGAGGCTTTCAGTCTGCAACACACACACACAACATGAGGCTTTCAGTCTGCAACACACACACACAACATGAGGCTTTCAGTCTGCAACACACACACACAACATGAGGCTTTCAGTCTGCAACACACACACACAACATGAGGCTTTCAGTCTGCAACACACACAACATGAGGCTCCGTTTCAGCTCAGATCTCGAAGTGTGTGTGTGTGTGTGTGTGTGTGAGAGAGAGAGTGTTAGTGTGTGTGTGTGTGTGTGTGTGTGTGTGTGTGTGTGACTGTGTGTGTGAGAGAGAGAGAGAGAGAGAGAGAGAGAGAGAGAGAGAGAGAGAGAGAGAGAGAGACAGAGAGAGAGACAGAGAGTGTGTGTGTGACTGTGTGTGAGAGAGAGAGAGAAAGAGAGAGTGTGTGAGAGAGAGAGAGTGTTAGTGTGTGTGTGTGAATGTGTGTGAAAGAGAGAGAGAGAGAGAGTGTTAGTGTGTGTGTGAGAGTGTGTGTGTGAAAGAGAGAGAGAGAGAGAGAGAGAGAGAGAGAGAGTGTTAGTGTGTGTGTGTGAGTGTGTGTGTGTGTGTGTGTGTGTGTGTGTGTGTGCGTGTATGTGTGTGTCTCAATATTTATGGAAACTTAAGCTGTCCAGGACCCCAGAGCGATGTAAACCGGACTCATCTCTGACGCTCATATAAATGTCAGTGAATCGCTAGTTTAACAGCTGGCCGTACTGCGCCGCAGCGATTACACACGTCTCGAGTCACGCTGCTCCGGTTCAGCCGTGTGCCCGATGTTCAGTTCTGGATAAAAGTGCCAGATAAATGACCAATTAGGAAATGTACAATTGTACGAACGACAGGAAAATCACTTCTGGGATCTGGCAGAAGGAGATCCTCACGAGTGTAAAGGTCATTAACAGCGTCTCGTCCGGGGCTTTATCGCCATCCGAGTCCAGAACGTCAGTGTTTTTCTCCCTCCATCCGTGTAAAAAGTCACGTGTGTGTGTGTGTGTGCGTGTGCGTGTCTGACCTTGTGTGCGCTCTTCAGCATCTCCACGAGCTCCCAGAAGCTGATCAGAGCCCTCTTCTCCACACGCTCCATGTAGACGCGGAAATGCTCCCGGTACACGGAGTTCGACATGATCTCCTCGAACTGAAGGATCTGAGAGACGAGAAGCAAATCAAGCATTAGTACAAACACTTCAGCTCACACACACACACACACACACACACACACACACACACACACACACACACACACACACACACACACACACACACACACACACACTCTCTCTCTCTCACACACACACACACTCTCACACACCTTACACACCTTACACACCTCACACACCTCACACACTCTCACACACAGACTCACTCTTACACACACAAAAGGGTTTTTACACTTTTGGAGCATTTTATATTTTAGGGCCATTGCTTTCTTTCTGAACCTTAAGAATTTTTTTCTGTTATACTTTTAATGTTGTTTATGTGTCTATGTGGTGTGTTTAATACGCTTAAACCATGTGTAAGTTCATAAGTCGACAGCATTGCTGAGTATTTCCTGCTTTAAACTGCAGTGAACCAAAGACAGTCTCAAAAACACGGTTTGAAATCGCTGGTGTTTCTGACGTCACAAACGACCTTGTAACCAATCAGATTAACGTGTGATCATCAACCAGTGGATCTCTGAGCTGAGTGAGTGAGTGGAGGCGGGGCTCATTTGCATATTCATAGAACCGCGCATACTAAATGAGGCAAGGGTGTCGAGTTACATTCAAGATATTTTAAGGCCCGAAGACATTTTTTTAAGAAAAAAAAAAAAAAAACGTTTAAATGTGTCATTTCGTGATCGAAGATGAGTTTTTAGGGATAAAATGATCAACTACAGGGGGACTTTAAACGAAGCCCTGACACACACACACACTCACATTTACAATGCCTGGATAAATGTAATCATGGCAACTAAAGGATGAAGGAAATTATTCGATGACTATTAGAGCAGGGTGCGAGTGTGACCCGGTCCCGTACCCGCTGGCTCTGGGGGCCGTCCCCTTCGTCCGGGGCCCCGTCCTCCTGCTGCTCGTAGTTCGGGCCCCCGAGGAGCCGGATCCGCTTCTCACACTGCTTCTTGGCCACCGTGAGCTGGTTAATGTAGCGCTTCATGTTCCTGGCACGTAACAGGTCGGCCTTCAGCGCAGCGGCTTCTTTCCCTTTACTGTCTGCAGAGAGAGAGAGAGAGAGAGAGAGAGAGAGAGAGAGAGAGAGAGAGAGAGAGAGAGAGAGAGAGAGAGAGAGAGAGAGAGAGAGAGAGAGAGAGAGAGAGAGAGAGAGAGAGAGAGAGAGAGAGAGAGAGAGAGAGAGAGAGAGACATGTTGTCAGACATGCAATCGTTCGGGAATCTCTGCTATGCGAGAGAAACCGGCTCTGATGACTGGAGGAGATTATGATGAAAAACTCCAGGACCGGTTTCATTTCCTTCTGCTTCATGTCGCTTACACACACCGAGATCAAGTGCAGAAACAAGCCACACACACACACACACCACTGGACTCGTTTAAACAGGCTTGTTTTGCACCAGACCAACGACTGAACAAACCTAACATTGTTAAAACCTTCCACTGAAAATCAATCAATCAAAATGTAACGCGGAAACTTAAAAAGAAGCAATCAATTACCCAAATAATTGATTTAAAATACTCTAAATTAATGTTTTCAATAATAAATTAATGTTTAAACATTCAAAAACTACAATTAAAAACTCTAAAACGGCTTAACTTAGGCAAAATTATTTTTTAATATTACTTTTTTTAATATTGTTTTTAATATTTTTTTTATTATTAAATGGCAAACATTTAACGCTAGAAGAATGAAGAAAACTAAAAGTTAATACATTTTAATGTTATTTTTATGCTTTTTCTGTATTTTTTTCATTGTTATGTTTCCTTAGTAACATAATGGAACATTGCATAAAATTTTAGGACAAAAATAAATAAACATTCAATTCAAACTGTTTAAATTTAGACAAAATCAGCCTCAAATTGTATTAATTTCAATGGCAAAAAAAGTGCTACAAAAAGGCTCATATTAGAAGAATGAAGAGGAGAAAGAAAACTTTTAGAATTTTTTTTAACAAAATCAAATAAATACAATCATTTCCTTATTAAACATAACGGATCATTCCATAAAAGTGTAGGGAGAAATGTAAAAACTTTAAAACGGCTTAATTTAAGCAAAATCAGACTATATAAATTCATTTAATTGCAAAAAATTGCACAAAAATTTTATATATTCATTTAATGTTTATTGCTAACAAAAAAAATCTGTATTTTAAACCTAAAGAGACTAAATCTGCAATCCGGCTGCCCTTTTTTTCCATTATAAAAAAATATTATAAATATTGAATTTGATCTCCTGAGATAGACAAACAAACTTTCAAAAGGTTTAGCCGGTTTAGCTCCACCTTTCACAGACCCTTCATTAGAAACCCTTAAATTGACTTATTTTACGCTCTTTTAATCCAAAGTTTGAGAATGAATCATTCAGAAGCATTTACCAAAGCACATTTAAAGAGTGTAATTTCTGATGTGTTTTACGGGTAAATGCCATCGCCGTCTGGATTACCCATCGGCCAATCACAGAGCTGCATAACAGCTCACGAAACAGCAGAGCAAATACGCCGGGTTATTGCATGGCTTTATTACATCTCTGATGTAGAGCTTGCCTTGACTGATGGCAGATTTGATTCTCAGATGCTCTCATGACCATTAGACTCATCATTAGGGGTGATTACAGAACGAAGCCGACCCTTTCAAGTTCATCATTAGACTCAGATGTAGACAGACGAAGAAATCTGACCCTGGAGCAAAGAACCAGTCACAAGGGTCATTTTTGGAAACACTTTACTTGAAGGGGTGTGCATAAGACTGACATGACACCTTCATAAGCATGACAAGACACATGCCATGTATATGAAGGAGGTTTATGCATGTTTATGACAACTGTTATTAAGTGTCATTCGCTCAATTATGACATTTTGAATGCAAATATGACATTGTTTGAGATGTCTTGGTTATGACAACTTGACATTATCAAGACAACATAAATTGTCATAAATATGTCATAAACATGACATAGCAGATTAATGATCAAACACTTAGCTTTATGGGTTAACATTACATTAAACAGTCATGTGGTTGGTTTTGACATTGGCTGTCATGAGGCCATTATAACGGTGTCATTAATATTGTTCTTGACCTCAACTACAGTGGTACACATTGAATTTGTCATTAAAATGTTATAATGGCCTTATGACAGCCAATGTCAAAACCAACCACCTGACAGTTTAATGTAATGTTAACCCATAAAGCTAATTAATCTGCTATGTCATGTTTATGACATATTTATGACAGGTTGTGGTGTCTTAGTAATGTCAAGTTGTCATGACAAAGACACTGACAGGTTATGATGTATTGGTTTATGTCAAGTTGTCATAACCAAGACATCTCAAACAATGTCATATTTGCATTAAAATTGTCATAATTGAGCGAATGACACTTAATGACAGTTGTCATAAACATGCATAAACCCTTCTTCATATTCATAACATGTGTCCTGTCATGCTTATGAAGTTGTCATGTCAGTCTTATGCACACCCCTTCAAGTATAGTGTTACCTCATTTTTTTTTTAAATTGAGATTTATACATCATAAAAAGCTGAATAAATAAGCTTAGCATTGATGTATGGTTTGTAAGGACAATATTTGGCCGAGAAATGACTATTGAAGATCTGGAATCTGAACGTGCAAAAAAATCTAAACATTGAGAAAATCGCTGTTAAAGTTGTGCATTTATGTTCATTTATGCTGCATTCACTCACAAAAATATTTTTTATGTATATTTACGGCAGGAAATGTACAAAATATCTTCATGGATCATGATCTTTACTTAATATCCTAATGATTTTTGGCATAGAGGTAAAATCGATATTTTTGACCCATACAGTGTATTGTTGGCTATTGCCACAAATACACCCGTGCGACTCCTGACTGGTTTAGTGGTCCAGGGTCACATATGAACCCCTAAATAAGGAGTGCTATGATTGGCTGATGAGTTTGAAGGTCATCTTACCTCTCTGTCTCTTCAGTTGTGGGATACTGCTGATTGTGGTCGCCTGAATGATCTCCACAACTATCTGATACCTGCAGGAACACAAAACCAGAGCAAAGTGACTCTCTTCAGTGTGTGATGTTGCAGTTTGATCATGAAAACGCTCCAGTTCTTCTCTATATCAGTGTCAGTGTTTCTGAACTCCTGAAACGCCTCCATTGTAGTCTTGAGTTTCTCCCGGGAACGAACACGTCACAATATTCACAATATTTAACATTTGGGCTTATAAACCATATGTAATGGAGATGGAACACTATGTGTTTGGTATACATGGATTCAGAAGACCCTAAGCTAACATAAGCATACATGTAATGTGTTTATAAAGGAAGTATGAGTGAAAAATATACTATAAACTAGAGAATTTCAAAAACGGAAATTAGATTTTTGTCATTTATTTCTGAAAATCACACATCACACAACAATAGTGAACAGTTTTTGAACAAAAAATATATTTGTCAAAGCCTTTGCTTGACAGACATGTGTAATTGTTCAATAAAATGTGTAAAGAACAATGAAAAATTTAACTTTATTTACAAATAGTCCTAGGCGTTTTTCTTAGGAATGCTTTCTCCTCGTCACTCTCCGGTAATTGTTCCAGAGCTTGTTCCACCGTAAATCTTTACTGCTTGCCATCATAAAAGTGCTAAAGCAATAAATAATGATATAATTGTATGTATATATATATTATAATAATTGTTATGTCTCTCATATTTCTCTGATAATCCGCTCCGTAAGCCTCCGTTCGCTCTCTCCCCTTCTCTCATATCCCTAACAATATAGTACCACCCCTTGCAAGGCTACAGAGTCCTCTGATTTGCTAGATACATCATGGTAACCTTCCTCTGATTGGGTAAGAAAAATATTTCTCCATCGGCAATTTTTCCATTGGTTGTTGCTTTCGGAATCTGCCAAACAACATCGATTTCATTGGCCCTTTACATAGTGGTATTGCGCAACAAGGAAGTGTGTATATTTACAACCCGGGTAAGTTATCACTGTTTTCAGCGGAATCTGAGGAAGACGGTAACAGGGTTTATGCAGGACTCATAGAGATGAATTTACTACCTTTTACTACCTTTTTTACTACCTCCACAATATTTTTTACTACCAACACGACATATATTCTATGTAACGTTACAATGTTCTCAATATAATTCATAATCCCACGTTTATAATGAACAACGCGTTATGGTTATTGTGTTATTAAAAACTGTGTACGCAGAGGGGCGGGGTGACCAAAGCTCATTATCATTTAAAGGGATGTGATTGTGCACTGAAACGGCGTGCTGAAAACAGAGCTATTTTTGAGCTGGTAAAATGAGTGTTTTCTTAAAATACTAATGAGAATTTTTGATAAAAGTATATTACAAAGTTTTCATTTAGACCCTAAAGATTCATATTAACTTGTACAAAAATGGCATTATATGACCCCTTTAACCCTAGCCCTTGAGTTATCCTAACCATTACGTTAGCCCTTAGCCCTAATAAGGTGAATAATAACCTTGGCACTTAAAAACAAATGACACTTAACAGCCATAAACTTTAATAAAGATTAATAATAAAGTGTCACATCACACACACTTACCCACAAACACACATTCTCACACACACAGACTTAAGCAGTGAAATTACTATCCCAAAACAGCAATTTATTTAATCACATCTCTAAATGGGCTTCAAATATGGCACTGCTTTGCTCCTCCCTCACGCGAACCCGTTAAATATTTTCAATTAGGGATGCACGATACCACTTTTTGCAGAACGAGACGGATACCAATACTTTCATTTTTGGTACTCGCCGATATCGATACCGTAACCGATCCCTGAATTTTCACTGCATTTGTAATTTTTAAATGTATTAGTAGATAAACCAAAAGAATATAAATCATATTAGTTGGCTTAATTTGTTCATCAAATATATATTTCCTTCAGATATTTTCATGCTTAATTAATCCTGCTAAAAAGCATGCTTCTGTTTCTGTCACTGTTCATTCTATTGCTCTATCATATTTTATCTTTCATTTAATACAGGGTATACACAGAAATTCTTAAAATGAATTTAATACCTTTTAATACCTTCACTATATTTTTTAATACCATCACGACTTCAAGATGCAACTGTAGTGGCGTATATACTAGAGACAAGTAAAGTAATGAAATATCTTCGAAAACTTGCATTTCCCCATAATGTCCAGGGTTTTTTCCTTTCCAAAATTGGTCTTCGGTGGTGGCCGACAGACACTTATCCTTTCTTGCCCTTTTTAAAAAAAAATTTGATAATTGTTTTGGTATAATCATTTCAATATCAAAAAGTAGAATAAAAACGGAGCATTAAAAAGTTTATTTTAAAAGTTTATTGAAGTCTAATTTTCTACCATATACTGTAAAATTTAATAGAATTAGCTGCCAGATACTTTTTTTTTATTTATTAAATAACAAAAATTGCTGCTAGATAACAACTTGCTTTGCACTTTTTTTCTGGTTTCACCTCACTCCAGTCTAAACTAATTTTTTTTTTTTTTTGCAATGTTTCTACACATTATAATATAAATAACCTGAAAATACTACGCAGTTTACAACATACATGAATTGTTTGTTCATATTACTTCACAGTGCATTAACTAATGTTAACAAATACAACTTTTGATTTCAATAATGTAGGCTATATGGTGAAATTGACATTAAGAAAGATTAATTAATGATGTAGACGTGCAGTTTATTAATAGTTCATGTTAACTAATGTAGTTAACTAGATTTTAATAAATGGAACCATATTGTGTTACCGATTCAGAAGTCCCGTGAGGACAGATCCGTTGTGTTAAGCTGTTAACCATTCATTAAAGTGACGCGTCATTAGCGGACGTGTACGCATTGTGTGGTTATCCCATCAGTTAGGACATCGCACAAAATTTGTGTCAACAAATAGGTTTTTTTAGGATAGATTTTTCCGTTTATTGAAAGTGTGGTTATGTCAGCTGAATGTGGGGAACGCTTTTCAGAGAAGATAAGGCAACGTTTTTTTATCACAATTCACACACAGCGGGAAATAAATTTCCAATTGCGCCACGTGAAACTTCGGTCTTCCGACCTTTTACCATCGTGTCAATTGATTTTGATTAATATGAGCGAGGGAGAGAGAGCAAGAGTGAATTGAGTGCGCGCGCGCAGCCGGGGCTCTCTCTCTGTTCCTTCTTTCAGTTAACATGCACCCTGTCACAAGCGCAGCAGTCAGTCGTCTACACCGTCAGGCTACTCACCGATCAAATATGGCTTTGGCGGCCGACTGATGACTGAAATAGAAGCGAACTCGCGAACAGGTTGGGCAGCAAGCCAGGCCAGCCGGGTACCCGGTTTGTTTCAGCGCGCTGCGAACGAACAAACACCACGTCACATGATATCGCACAGGTCCTACTCGCTACATATAAATAAATCCACGCGAATTTTAGAACAAAGTCCTGCACTTAACACAAATTGAAACTCATAGGCCTAGTTGGATGGGGGTTCGAAAATTTACTACTTCGTCAGATGACGTTTACTACTTTTTACTGGCCTTAATTTGGCATAATTTAATTTACTACCTTTTACTACCTTTTACAACCCCGCGGAAACCCTGGGTAAAAAAGACCGCACCTCTCTATCATTAATAGTTTTTAAGATATTTACACATTTGTAAAAGTATGCCATTTTGGGCGGTACCGCCCAATCCGTCCCCAGAGGGTTAAGATCTGATTCGACTAACTCTGTATATACGCATGATCCTCTACTCTGTCCATCCACCTGGTCTGAGTTTGAGCTGATTGACCTAGACACATGTAACGAAATTGTTGGTTATGTAAAACCTACTATCTGTCCTCAGGATATCATTCCACCTCTTTTCTTGAGACAAATCATATTAGCCACAGTTGGTCCTGGCCTGTTACTATTAATTAACAAATGCCTGTCGACGGGCTCCTTCCCAAACAGTCTGAAAGTTGCCGTGGCGACGCCATATCTCAAAAATAACTATCTCGATCCCTCCTCTCTTTGTAACTTCCGTCCTATTCCTAACTTTCCTTACATTTCGAAGATCCTTGAGAGAGTTGTACTGATTCAACTACAATCATACTTATCAGTAAATTCTCTCCACGAAACTTTCCAATCTGGTTTTAAAGCTTTGCACAGCACTGAATCCGCTCTTTTACGAGTTTCAAGTGATATTTTCACTGTAACCGACTCTGGGAAATCCCTGGCGCTAGTCCTATTAGATTTGAGCGCTGTTGATCATGAGGTCCTTCTGCAGCGCCTGGAGATATCTGTGGGTTTTCGAGGCTTAAGGTCCTTTCACACTGGACGCAATTTTGACGCACAAATAATTTGCGCGATAGTTTTATTTTTTGATCAGCTGTTTGTGTAATGAGTGCTTCCACACCGAACGCGAATGTGCTGCGGCGAAAAAACGAGTTTCATCTTTTTTCGCTTCCATGTCGATTTTTTTTTACTTTTGCGGCGACAGAAAAGGCTTCAGCCAATCACATGCAAGGAAACAAAGGCGAAGCTTGTTGACGCTTTGGCCGCTCTGACGTAGCAGCGTTATGTGCGAGAGAAGAGAAGTGTCACAACATGAAATGCAAACTAAAGACAAGCAATACATTGAAACTAGAAACATTTTATAATGACAGCATTTTTATATTGCCTATTCCACATCATTTATGACATGACGTGTTTCTTACCAGCAAAAGAACGAGGCATGGGATAAAATAGCTGGGATAGTTGCTGTCTCCGGCGAGTTGATGAAGTGTGTGCTGATGATTTATAATATTTTTGACTTGGAGGGAAATAATTGATTTGGAATATTTTCAACATTCATGGTTGTGTGTTTCATATTATTTTTGCATGCATGTATAGGCCACACACCAGAGCATGTGCGTAAATAAAGCGGAGAGGGGTGACGCTTAAATAGGCCTATAAGTAAAAAAACTCAAACATACGTTTCATATATACGTTTAAATAATATAATGCTATTTTTTTTTTCATCTATGTTGATGATCTATAT